GCCAGCACCCACTCTGTGCAGCTCACATCCTGCTGATGACCAGAAAACCTCTCTGGCATCGGAATCCTCAATCTCCCGAATCCAGTGTCGACAGGGATAGCGGCAGCTCTGTGTCCAACATCCGGCAACCCACCTCCATGTGATGACTCTCTCTTGCCCATAGAATCATCGTCTCTGTCATCATCGCCATCTCCAAGTGGGCCACCAGGCGGGCCACCAGGCGGGCCTCCTGAGGGTGACCTTTTGGGTGGTCTCCTTGGCGGTTCGTGACCACGTGATCCTCCAGCTCCACCACCCAGGGATCCATATGATCCCAGCCCGCTGTAGGGATCCTCTGGCACACCTAACCCCCGGAAAGGAGGTTGGCGAGCCGACTGTGTAGGGAATCTAGCTCCAAATGCTCCAGCTCCACTCACTCGTGACGGTACTCCACTCGGACCCGCTGATTGACCACGGGAAGACTGACCAGGCTGTGCTGAAGTGCCTGCTGTCTGACTGATACCAGGAGGCAACAATGGTGCTGCAATTCCGCTCGCAATTCCCAAGTTCTCTGGCGGTGCCATAGTGGTTTGCACCGTAGTACTTAGGACAGTTTGCACCATTGTCCCTAAGTACACGCTACTGGGAATTTGCTTGTTCCGAAATGCATCCCAATCCACATTCTGATTCACCTTCCAGTTCACAGGATTCTCACTCCACGACACAGCACCAACGGGCAGCGAAGGAACTCCAAAACTCACACCTTGTGCCGTCTCGCAGCTCCCCGTTACGCCAGGGGTGCGTAACCCCTCGTAAAGCGTAACCTTTTTACGAACAGGCCCCATGGGGGCGGCATCTCCCTCCGCGGCACCTGCATCCTCCGCGCCCGAGGCCACCGGCAACGGCGACCGACTCCGAACGGTCGAGGGCGGCATAGCCGGCCGAACGACGAGGCTGGACGTTGCCTCGGACATCCTGCGGTCCAGCGCCTCGATGGCGCGCTTGATGCCGCCGAGCTCGCCGGCCATGGAGGCCGTTTCTCGAGCATGGTTCGCAGCCATGCTTTCCACTCGTTCGGAAACCGTCTCTTGAGCGTTTTGCTGCGCTTGAACGGCGGCGCCGAGGTCGCCCAACACTCGCGCCGCTTGGTGCAAGCTTTCGTTCGCAATCGAAGCCTCCTCGGAGGCCTTTCCCGTAGCATTGGCCAGCGCCTCCAACCGCGCATCGTGGCCTCCTTTCTCCGATTCCAATGCCACCAGCCGTTCGTGTACCTCTGAAACATCCTCCTGAGTCCGTGCGAACCGTCCGCCGTCGATCGCGCCCGCCAGCTGCACCTCATCCGCCAACTTCTGGTTGGTTGCCGTAAAATGCTTCTCCGTTTCCGCGAGCCTCTTCCCCATCTGCTCCATTCTACAATCTATCTCCGTGCTGATCCACTCTTCCGCTCGAAGCCAATCTCCTCGAACAGCAGCTTGCAATCTCCCGAGCTCATTCGCTTGCATTTCAGCTCTTTGCCTCACACCTTCCAGCCCGGCGCCGATCACCGAAATGGCCCTTTCTTGCGCGGCCATTCTGTCATGCACACCTTCCTGCAAGGCCTGCAGCTCGCGGCCTTGCTGCAGCTGCTGCGCCGCTGATTGATTCACCGCCTGCTCGAGCTGCTGCCCGAGCGACTCGCCCATGCCGCGGAGGGCGGCATTCTGCTGCTGCCCGGCCGAATTGCTCCATTCCGTGACCGCGAATAGGGTCGCTCGACGCGTAGCTGCGGCGGCGACAGCCCCCACGTGCCGCAACAATAGCTGCTCCGGTCGATCGTCTTCCTCGCCGTGCTGCAAAGCCGTCACTCCTCCGCCGGTTCCATTCAGCTCCATGGGGGTCGGTCTGCCTCGATAGGGCACCAATTGCCCGGCCGATTCGCCCCCCGGATTCCCAGACTCCTGACGAGGATCCCCACTCGCCATCCCGGCCGTCGGCCGGTGTGTTCTCGCCGCTCGAACGCTCCGCGCTCCGAAACCAATGATGCGGGAGCTTGGAAGCTCCCTCGGGCACACAGGTCGGATGAAACGGGGAGTCGGAATCCCCGGGCGGTTACTACATTTGTACATTATACAAGATTGTCTTTAATTGTTCCGTTTATTGTCCCATGTCCTTTGTAACCACCACAAGGCTAGTTTACCCAACTCAGACCCATTTAGAGTAATCAAATATATCTAACTCATATACAGAAGCAACCGTATCAATCCACTGCTCATTTTGAGGGTCCAATACACGCCTACTAATACTGGGTAAATACGGTAAAACTGATCGAGTATTAATAACAGCTGGACGCGCGTAAAGAGGTGATGAGGCATTAGGAATTGCATTAAGGACATGTTAAATTATGGTATAGTCACCATGGTGACTAATGTGTGGATGATGTGGACAACAAATTGGCATTGATGCACAAGTGAAAAAACAACAATATGATGCATACGGTGACTAGCTCCCCATTGAGGCAAAACTTAGGGTGTGCACAACAACACAAATGATCAATTGATGTTTAAGATGATTTGACAAAAGTTTTGATGAGTTAGATGGCTTAGATGAATGAATTGGGCGGTGAAAACATGATCATTGAATTGCTTGCGCGATTCTGATGAATTTGGATATGCTATGGTTAAATGACAATCATTTAAGTCATTAAACTCATTTGAATCATTTAGGATAATGATCAATCATCTATTTTTATCAACATAGGTGAATGCGGCATGTCATGGGCTCACACACGCTGTAACATAGGTGTGAACTTGGTGGCACTGGTCGTTGGGCGCGGTGTGCCATGTGCATTACATAAGGGTGGTGGCAATAGTGTGATGGGTGATGTTGAGCGTGTCACCGTCCTGCCACCCTTGGCAGCGTGTGTGAGGGCTGTGGGATGCTGTGGGCGCCGTGAGAGTTGTGTGGAAAGTGCAATAGAGTGTAAAGTATGCTGGTGGCTGGTGCTGTGCATGGGATAAAGGAAAATGGTGATGGCATAATGGGATATTGTCACTAGAAAATGCATATGGTGAATTCTGGCGAGTGTGGTGGATTCTGACGGGAAGGGGGAATGTTATAGGTGCAATATGTGAGTTCGCAGTGTGGTAGGGCGTTGGAACAGGGTAGTTCAATAGGAAGTGTATGTAGAAGGAAATGGTGTAAGGGAAAGTTCTATGGGATAAGGCATGGGGTGTTGTGGTGTAAGGGATGTTGTGATAGTGTTAGGGAGTGGTGTTATGGGGCAGAGGCGGAGAATAAAAGGGGGGTGCCGCTGGTCCATTTGAGAACAGTGCCAACCGCCCGCACCCCCTCGTTCTTGGGCCCGGGGGCCCAATAGGGCCTCTCTCCTAGAAGACCTTAAGTACTGGAGCACCAAGAAGGAGTCCGAATTCGGACTAGGGCCCCATGAGCAAACTTGTTCAGGCAAAGGTGGAGATTCATCTGGCGAATTTGTAGAATATTCTGAAGTGATCCAGTGTGGATAAGGAGGATCAAAGGGATCAAGAATTGAATTGCCGGATGATGGATCTATAGATTCAGAGCAAGGTGTGGTGCAAAGGGCAACATTGCATCTGGCAAGAGGTGGAAAAGTGGTAGCAAGTGTTGTGTGGGTTTCTCAAGTCATGTGTGATGGTTGGGTATATTGGGTTGAAAGGGTGATGCATGTGGACTGAGCATTTGAAGTGATGTGATGTTGTTCAATCAGGATTGATTTCTTGACGATGTTGATTATGATTGATCATCAATTTAAGCAATGGGTTATTTGTTCAGTTCAATATGATGCATCCCAAACTCTCAAAGCAACGCGAGTTTCAATAGAGCAAAGATTAAGTTCAGCCTGTGATCTATGGGTCCTTCGGGGCGATCACTAAGGGGCATGTATTTTAACAGACATTGATAAACAGACTAGATACAACGGACAGAACTCCTGTTGTTCTTTTGCTCCACTGTAAACCGTTGCTGTGTACTCGAGCTTACGGTCCCCAGTCAGGGGTCGTCACCCCTCGGCCCTGCCTGCCTTCATCAACACGTCTTCGCACGGAGCCTGATTGGTTCCCACAGCGTACATTGCGTTGAAGTTGCCTAGTATGGGAATTGAAATGGACTGCTAATGATGTCAAAGCGCTGGCGCATCTTTTGCGTACGATGGCGAGGACGTTTCAGCACTGCCAACTCGCCTCGCGGAGCAAAAACTGGCAGCAATTCAGTCGCCCGGTCTCTATGGCAAAGATCCAGTCTTTTCAGGAGCTGGTGTACACTGCAGTCTCAAAGCAAACTGCTGAAAAGACCTGTGACTGGGTAGGCATCCAAAAGTCCACGAGAGTACATGTTCGAGTAAAATTTCACGATGACAAGTCCTGATTGGCCTCGGGCGTCGAGCAGTGCGTACGACAAATTATCCGTTCTGCGATGTCGTGGGCGATGTGAGCGATATGGAAATGCCTACACCAAGTCCGGGCACAACGCTCTTCAGCCCTCAATCGCCCCATCAGTTGAAACGGAGTTGAGCGGGTCTCGGCTGCATGGCTTTGGCCGCTCCGCTACAGGAGCAGCGCCGTGGGCGCACCAACAGGGCACCCGCGCAGACAGCCTTAGGAATGCCGCTTCAAAACAACGCAGCAGGATTTCCGGTCACAACACCCCAGCACCTTCCCAGGGCGCATTTCAGCTTTCCTTTCTCGTAAAAATTTTGAACACGCGCAAAATTTCCACCTTCATTCCGCAGCCCGTTCCACATCATGTCCGCCCTCGCCACCCCTGGGCTCGCCTTTGCGGCTCTGCCCGCAATCTCGTTGGCCTCTCCCGCTCACCGCCCTGACTCTCGCCCCCGGCCTGGAGCGCCCGCCAGGCTCCCCAACTTCCACCCCTTTACTCCACTCCCCCCTCCTCTCCCACCCCTCCCCCGCCTCCGCTCCCCCCTTTTGCCCAAATCCCGGCCTTCCGCCTGACCCGCTCGCAGCCGCCCACGACAACCACCACCGAGGCGCCTATCTTTGCGCGCCATGGCCAACGCAATCCCCGCTGTGGGCAGCCGCATCAGCCTGGTGTCCAGCGGCGACATCCGCTATGAGGGCATCCTGTACTCAATCGACATGGTGGACTCGAAGATCGCCCTGCAGCAAGGTGTGCCCCTGGCCTCCCCGCTCTTTGACACTGGACATGCTGCGCTGACAGCTGATGCTCTCTCCTTTGTATCGACCTCGTTTTGTCTCGGGGCGCCCGCTAAAGCTTCGTGAAGGTGGAGGAAAAGTGGGATTATGCCTCGTTGTTCTGTCTTGCAACATCCCCCCCTCCTTTCCCTCTCCCAGCCAAAGTGCTCCGAGGGTCACAATTATGTTGACGCAAATCTTTCGGGATCCCGCTCGCTACCCGCCATGCCTTCCTGCGGCTCACGGCAGCCGCCTTGCCAGCAATTCCGTGCGCGGCTGCCCGAGCGAGTGATGGACCCATGGCCCGTGCGTTCGGCGCGATCTGAAATCGGCTGGTTTGTTGGCCCGGCGGTGGGAGCAGTGAAGTCGTTCGGCACGGAGGGGAGGCGCGTGGGCGAGGCGCAGGTGCCGCCTAGCGAGGAGGTTTACGAGTACATCGTGTTCAGAGGTAAGGGGGGCCGTGGTGGGCCGACCATCAATGGGCGGGGTTCCGTTCCGGGCGATCGTTCGCTCAGTTTGTTTGGTTGGCGTTCCTTGAAGAAGGTTGATTCGTCGGCGGGAAGAAGGGCACGCTCTCGCGACAGGTCTCGCACCCCCAGAGCGAAAATTTCGCAAAAGGCTTCACAGAAGTTGGTGCCTTGGCACGAGGATGGGGACGCCCTCCGGGCGATCGATCGCACCGTTGTTTGGGTTGCCGTTCCCCGAAGAAGTTGATTCGCTGGCGGGAAGGGGGGCAATGACCGCTCAAGGGGCCTCGCACCTCCCGAGGACGAAGTTTGCGGAAAGAAATCTGGCAGACGTGGGTGCCTTGCCCAGAGGATGGCAAGGCCTCCGGGTGATCGTTCACGCCGCTTTGGGGTTCCTGAAGAAGGTTGGCTCGTCGACGAGAGGGGTCTCTTGCCCGCCTGACGGGTCTTACATATAAGAGCAAGAATTTTGCAGAAAATTTTGGAGGCCGTTTTGCAGAAAATATTGCAGGCAGGTTTGCAGATAATTTGGCATGGCTGGGTGGCTTGGCAAGAAGATGAGGAAGTCTGCGATCGCGGTTGACATTGCGTGCAGCTCGCCTTCTGGAGATGGTCCCACCTCACGCCCTAGGCACGCCTCGCAGGGTCAGACATCAAGGAGCTGAATGTCTTGGAGTATGCGCGGTCGAGGCCGGCAGGGCTGGACGACCCGGCGATCATCTCCGCGGTGGTGAGCGGAGGGCCATTGTGTGTTCCCACCTTTTGATTTTGCCTTTGGAGGCATCCACTTTGTCCATCACAAGCCCTCACAGTTTCTCTGTGCACCAGGGTGGTGCCCAGTGTGTGCCATGCGTCTCCTCTGTCCCCATTGCATGTCTTGGAGAATGGATGCAGCCACCTCGCCGCGAGTTGTCTCGCTCATGCCCACCTTGGACTGATTTTGAAGCCCACTCGTGCTTGCCCCTCCCCTGCAGGGACCCGGAGGCTCGCCGCCAATGCAGGTCCGCAATGTGAGTGTGATGGGGCGAGGCATCCTTGCGGTGGCCCCCAGTTTTGATGGCTACCTTGTTGCATCACTTGTCATAGGATTGCAGCCATTGCATGGGGCTGATGACGATCGAAGCTGTCTTTGGTTTGTACCCTTTGGTCCAGTTCATGATGAAGCATTTGCGAATTGGGCCCATTGCTGGCTGGATCCACAGACTTGCAATGCCCTTGGCTCTGAACTGCCCCGTGCCCAGCATTGTGTGTTCACACCCTGCATTGGAAGACTTTGCATCTTCATTCACAGCATGATATAGCATCACCAATCTGCTTGCGGAAAGGCTTTGCCCATTGGAAAACGTGCTTCTCTTTTCTTTAGCCATGATACTTTGAGCTGGCCTCCACACACAGTATCAGCATGTTTCTGTCTGTTTACAAGTTGCTTGTGGTCATGGCCCTGTTCTCATTCATACCTCATCCTTTCTTTCTGTGTTCCTGCAGATGAACCAAGGCCAGTACGGTGAGTGTAGCAGGACCCTGGCACAGCTCAAGGGACTCAGCCACGGGCAAGGGCCGTTGCGTAGGACCAGCAGGTGTTTCGCCACCCTTGGGGTCAGATGCCTGCTCCTTACTTGGTTCTGCTCGTTCTTGCTGTTGGTGGCACCTGTTACCACTGCAAAGTTGATAAGGGCTCAATACGTTCTTGTAGGAAGGGTTTGCTGCAGTGTATGGCATGTTTATGGGATTTTTACACATTTCAACACACACAATAGACAGGCGCACATGCCCCGCATCGCGTACAGAGTGGAAGGGCCCTGCCCTGCCCGACAGTGGCGATCCAGCTATGTTTTCTCGCACTCGATGCATGTTTCCGCCTGATCTTCCAGCCACTGGTTTCTCTGATCCCTTGGCAAACGACTGCCCCATATTCGCCTTGCTGGTGCAAATACAGTGCTCGACTTCGACCAGAAGGGTAGTTTGAGTGGCTGAGTAGATTTTCTCATGCAGGTGCAAACACCTGGGGTGGTGGCCAGGGCCAGGCCCAGAACCAGGGCTACCAGGGCGGCGGGGCCGGCCCCAGTGCCAACAAGCCCAGCTTCCCAGGCTCAGGCTCCGCCCCCGCGCCCACGATCTCCATCACACCTGCAAGGCCTGGCCAGGATGGCGGTGCCAGTGCCGGCGGCAACTGGTGGCAGGGCGGCGGGGCACCCAACGGGGGGATGAGTAATCAGTACCAGGGCAGAGGCAGGGGTGGGCCTGGGGGCCCAGCGGGGAGAGGATATGGTGTGCAGCCTGGGAGGGGTTACTACAGGGGTGGCCGGAGGGGCGGAGGCCCCTGGCAAGCGGGCGGCGAGGGCGGGATGGGCAGCGGAGGCCGGGGGGGGTCCGCCTACACTGCACCGAGGGCTGTGCCGCCGCCTGTCCCTGTGCCCAACGAGGACTTCAACTTTGAGGAGCAGAATGCCAAGTTCAAGAAGGATGATGTGGCGAAGGTGGGTCCTTTACGTGGAGAGGAGGCGCTTTTTGTTTGATTTGATTGTACATTTAAAATCAAATTTTGGATTTTTCAGTGTAATAAAAGTTTGAATTGTTAGACTGTTGTAAGATATATTGGTGTCTTTTGTTCGAATCTTTTGAATGCACGAAATGCATTGGTCAAAAAGGGCAAGGGAAATGGAGCCCATCCCTTTACAGGACAGCGCGGCATTCTTTGATGGCATTCGTGAAAGGTAAAGCTCTGTTGTTGTATTTGCAAGGCAATGCACAAGGCGAATGGCACGATGTGCGATTTTAGTGATGCCCGATGTGCAGGGGGTCGCAGGGGTTATGGCCACAAAAGGGTGGCACTTATTTATTGTGTTGATGTATGACCTGCCGGCCTTCTAATGCTTTTGCGCTGTACCTTGTATGCACGTTGGTGGGACCTGGGCTGTATGCTTTTGTGTTCTGTGGAGCGGGCTCACCGGCATGAGGTGTGGGAGACAAGCCTTTGTGGACACATGCCCTTCGTTTGTGTTCTTGGCGATGTTCGTTGAGTCTGTCTATTGTGCACCGCCTTGAGACTGAGTAGTCAGTGCCGGGCATGGCAGGCATCGCCTGAAAGGTGTCAGGGCATTATTCCACTGTGGAGACAAAGCTGGAAGGAGATGTCAGTGGACCGTTAGAATTGTTGCAATTGAGCTCTTGGGTGGTTCGGATGAAGATGGGGCAACCAACACGATACGAATTGGCGCATGCCATCGCAGAATTGGAGCAAGGACAGCAGTTGTGTGCTTTGGCAACCGTACTTCTGACAATGGAGGAGCAGAACTCGTTTTTTGGAGAGTGTGGGAGAGAATCTCCCCAGGGGAGACTCTCACAGGCTGTTCAGCAAATATGTGCCACAGCGCACTTCTGATGTGAGTGGTGGCGCACACTGGGTGAACAGTGTGCATACGGCAAATGGGCAAGACATCTGAATGGGAATTTGGCAGTGTTTGACTCATGTTGTGTGGTGCATATGTCTGGGATTCGTTTTCAAACGATGATGGATGGTGCATGCCTGACAAGCAGACTCCGGTGCTGATGTGCTGTCTGTGCGTTTGAAGGAGGAAGCCGGGTCTGACGTGCCGAAGGGCACCTACGCCAAGGACGAGTTCTTTGACACGATGTCATGCGAGGCGCTTGAAAAGCTTGGGGGGGCGAACCAGGAGGGTCGACGGTCCTTTGCAGAGCAGCGGAAGGTGGATGTGGAGACGTTCGGGGGCGTAGCCAGCAACATGAACAGGCGTGGGCGGTGGGGCTCTCGAGGGATGCGTGGCCAAGGCAGGGGAAGGGGACGGGTACGGACACAAGCAAGGGGCACCAGAATCGATGCCAACCCCCTTTGCCCCTGTATGCATGGGGTTTGCTATTGCTGCTAGTATTTGTACATATTTTTGTCTTTTGTTCTTTTTCATCTGTTTCTGTGTATCTTTTATGTTATATGTTGTTGCGTCTGTTTTTCTGTTTTGTGGCTGTCCCTGTCCCATTCACTATGTTCTCATCTGTAGAGCCCTGCTCTGTTGTCATGTGTCCTTGTACGTTACTTTGTAGTGTCGGCCCCCAGGTGCTGTGTCCTATATATGTTGTCAAGAAATGACCATTGATATTGGTGTGTCTTAGTAACCGCTTTGGGTTAGCAGATATACTGTGTCACAACACGCGATGTTGTGTCACCAACAGTGTAAACGCAACCTTTAGGCTTTGCAAGCTATGTATGTGTAGGGGCCAGCTGCTGTGGAGTTGAGAGGTAATGAGCGCTGATGCATGGCTATATGTGCATACTGATAGGCTATCTGGCAGGGCTAACTCAAATTATGGTTGTCGATCCTTAAGTTGCTTCAGAAAAACGATGACGCAGGGTGGGCTTGCAGCTCCAACAGACAGCAAGCATCACTCCACCATTAGATTCTGTTCAAATTTGATTGCTTTGAAAATTATGGCTCGCCCAAATGGCTGTCCTGAAGCTTACATCCTGGACATATTGCTCATCTGTTGAAGACTGTGTGCTTGATTCGCCCTACGGCAATCTGGAAGCGACAGACAGTACTTTAAGGAGCCCTGCAGTCTGTAACAACACAAGCGTTGTTGCTGCCTTGTGGATGAAAATTGAAGCTAGCAAGAATTTCCCAGTAGGCATTCATGGAATCAGATAACCTGATATGCAGGTGGGGCCAACCCAGTGGTGGAAAATGGAGTTGGTGCAAGAGCAGTGCAAGAGGAAGCAGGTCCATGCAGAAACATTTGCTTGGGAACCCTGTTGTTTGCCATGATATGGAGCTTCCACTTGGGCTGTCCACTGGATGCTGATTGGCAGCACATGTGAACACTTAACAGGGTGGGATAACAGTGCAGCAAGCTCTGCAATAGAACCTGCCAAATATGCTGGTTCCCGTTGCTCAGTCCCCCTCTACCAGTTTCCTGACAGCTTCGAAATTGATCGCTGTCTGATACACCACAACCCTTGCCCGGGCTCGTATTCCCCAGGGGATTGTCATGTGGGGACAAAACAGTGTCTGTTTGCCCACAAGAAGGTAGGTTGTGCCAGACTTCCTGCATCCAAATGCGCAGCTTGTGGAGCCCTGATATATGCATTTCTAATCTTGTTAAACAGGGCTATGGACGTGGGCGTGGGAGGGGTTACTACCACAACTACCAGAGCTACGGGAAGGAGGGCGGCCGTGGATAGACGTCGTTGTGCTCGATGTTTGGGGCATGGCACAGTGGACGGGTGTCCATGTTTTGGGATGCATGGCCACAAGCTGCAAGCATGGGAGGGGCTGGACTGAAAGAAGGGTGGTGGGTCCCTGGGGTGGTGGGCCCCTTAGGTGGTGGCTGGCTGAGCTGGTGGTCCCCTGCATGTGGGACAGCTGGCCTGTGGTTTGCTTGGTAGAGGGACCTGGTCAGGAACTTTGATGGGGAGAGATTGCAGTGGTTTCAGCTGGTCTTGAGTTGCTCTGGGGAGGGCTTGATAGGGTGGCGGATTTGCACTGAGGCGTTGTGTGGCGCTTGGGTCAAGAGGTTGCTGGTTCTTCTACGCTGGAGAGCAAGCAGGAGCAGTGGTGGGGCCATTGGTGTCTGAGATGCGCCTAATGTGGGACTGTGGTGACAATGGGGGGTGAAGGGATACCAATGGCGGTGGCCATCAAAAGTGGTGTGCGGTGTATTGCGAGTCGTATTAGAGTATTGTCACAGACCTTCGGGCATTGATTATTAGCAGGTGGAGCAGAGGACTTTGGGGATGCAGGGAGGGTTGCCAAAGAATCCAGCAGCGCACGAGAGTTGTGAACCCATGTCCGGCACCATGTGTGGGCAGGGGTTCCTTCAATAATCTTTGGTGCTCAGCCATGCACGTGTGGTTGCTTGGCCGACAGCAGGGTCAGTTCTGCTGTGCCCCTGACTCGACATTTGCGCTTCTTGACTGCAGAGAGCGCCATTTTGGCAGTCAGAGAGGGCGTGAAGCTGAACACAAAACTTGGGGCGCAGGTGCACCATCCAGTGGCACCTTCTTTTCTTTGTGATTTTCCTGTGCGTGCCTGCCAGCCTCCTTGCTGACGGGAGTCTGCTGAGCTTGCAGACATGCCCAACAACTGTACAAGAACAACTGTGCAACAATTGGCGAGCACTTGGGCATGGCCAACAACTGTACGAGAACAAACTGTCCAGCACCTGGCGAGCATGTGGGCATGGCGGACAACTGTACGAAAGGATACGAAGGGACACGCAGCGGTTGGCTGCAGGCCTGGAGGGATGGCACCCTCGGCTCGCGTGCACCTGGCCGTGCATAATTGGATGGCATTGGGCTCTGCCAACTGGACCTCGGGTTGTTTATTATTGGAGTGGGGAATTGGTGATACCCGAGCCCGGCTGGGCGGTGCAGAGGGGCTGGGCCTGTGGAACCGGCTGCTGGGAATGCTGTAACTGCTGTCGTTCACCGTGTCTGGTTGACACAACGGGCCCCTTTCAGCGATGGGTGTTGGTGGGGCTGTCATGAAGCATGCAGGAACTTGGCACTTAACTCGTGTTCCTTGCACTTCAGAAGGAGCAACGTAGAGTGCGCCCTGCAGCATGGGGCCGAGTTGTGGCAGGAACGCGTGCAGGAGCTCAATCCAGCCCGACCCATCTTGGGGACGTGCGTCATCATAGACAGATCTGCCACCAGACGGTCGCCTCCCCTGCAGTGTACAGGATCACGTCGTTGCGCAGGGGGCGCCTTGAAATGCACCGCACCAAGAATGTATTGGTCCCTCTGTCTTTTCCGTGAAAATCCTTCTTCTGCTGGCAAGGCCAACGCTGGTTGGTGGGTCAATGGTTCATGGTTTAGGTTGTCGGAAAAAAGAAGGGATCTTCACGGAAAGGACAGAGCAACTGATTGGGTGCCCACTGCACCGTTGCCGGAGTGGCAAGACGAGTTCCAAAGCAGTGGCACAAACAAAGCCGTTTGCCAGATACAATGTTACATCCATAATTCTATATAGAGAAAATGCCAAAAGGGCGTCCTCTGTGTCAAAAGGGGGTCCTCTATGGAGGTGCATTTGACAAAAGGGGGTCCTCTGACCGCCTACTGTACATTAGGCGCGTTGCCAGACTGGCGCTAGGCCGATGCCGTACCGGGTCCGGTCTGGCGCCAGACCGGACCATGGTCCTACTAGGGGCGACCCCTCTGGGAGGCCGCAGGGAGCACACAACGGTCAGAGTTGTGGGAGGGAGTCATAGCAATGAGAGCCACGGGGGAGACCTGCGGGGAGAGCAAGCGGCGACTGGAGCTGCGGTGAGAGCAAGGGGTGATCGGAGCTACTTGGGAGAGCAAGTCGCCATCGGAGCTCCAGGAGGGGGTCGCAGAGATCGAAATTGCTGCAGAGAGCACGCGGCAATGGCGAGCGCAGCCATGGCAAAGCAAAGCGAGGGGTACAGGCTTAGGTAAACAGAAATGCCAAGAATGGTTTGTGATTGGTCGGATGGCTGAAGATCCTCTTGCCATTGCAGAGCCTCTCTTGGCGATCGCAAGTGTGCTCGTAGCAAGAAAAGCATGGATGTGTAGACAAATATTGTGATTGTGACTGCGAACTGACTTGCGTAGCACAGCTATGGGGATCTGGGGATGGCTTTCAACAATCTGTCAGAATATTTTTTGCATTTGTTTTCTCGCTCATTAGCACTGCCTTCATTTTATGCGCTCCTAGTTTGGTGGCAGTCCACAGGCCACTTCCCGTAGCCAAGAGCCTATGGCAAACCATGTGGTTGCGAGTGTGAGCCAAGTTGTGTGGGACAATTATGTTGGATTCGGGAATGGCTGCTGACAGTCTGTGAGAATGTTTATGGGTTGTCATTTAAATGGCATCATGAAGTCCCCACAAACACCTACAACACCCAAAGAGGAAAATTGACAAAAGGGGGTCCTCTGCAGGGGTGCATTTGACAAAAGGGGTTCCTCTGCGGGGTTGCCCCTAGTAGGACCGGCTTGCCGACCGACGTCAGTCTGGCACCGGCCTGACAATGCGCCTAATGTACAGGGGGTGGTCAGAGGACCCCCTTTGTCAAATGCACCCCCGCAGAGGACCTTGTTTTGTCACAAAGAACCCCCTTTTGTTAAGGTATCTCACAGGGCCCCCCCTCCCCCCCCCCTTTTGTCATTTTTCCTGACATATAATAATGTATACTTCCGTGTATTCCAAAGTTCAGAGCTTCTCCCGGAAGTTCGGAAGTTCTCAAGGACTTAAGTCTCAAGTTTTCAAGTCTCAAGTTCTCAAGTTCTCAAGTTCGGAACAACTTGCGAAGCACTATATAATGTTGCGCCTGTAACGCTGCTGCCAGTGCTGAAGTACGCAATTCAGAGTCAAGAAGGAAATGCCGCCAGTTTCATCATGGCCAAGCCCAGGCGAGGGGTCTCCTTGCTGGAGTACTGTCTGTCGTGACATTGCCATGTTAATTTGCAGTGTCAGCCTGTCTGAATCGGTTGGCAGCACAGTAGACCAGCGCACCGTCAGCCCAAGAACAAGCAATCTGTCTGAGCCAACGAGAGTCATTGACATCGGTGCAGCGGTGTGTACCAATGCGGGTCAACAGACACATCTGAGAGGTGTGTTTATTCGTGTCATGCTAATGGCCATGCCCAACATGGTATAGGGCAACGGTATATTCGAGTACATGTTTACGAATTCCAACCAGGCATCCCTTGTCAAATTCCCAGTCGCTATCTCCACAAATCTGAAGACTGGGCCTCGCTGTGCGACATGAAATTCTCTGTCCGAAGCCGCTGGTTTGTGCCTTCCGGACGCCGCCCATCACCAATTGCACAACATCGGCAACCTGAGATGTGATGCAATAGTTAGTATTAAAAAAAGAACACCAGCAAACTGTCCTTAAGTGCAGAAATCCTGGCAGCCTCATACCGCGACCGATCAACTGAAGCTGCCATCCAGCCGCAACCAGACGCCATTTCCCAGCTGCTGATTGCCGTTCGCCACCGGATGCAGCTTTACAGTAGTTACCACCGCTGTACAATGAGAAGTCGCCATCATCAATAGCTGTAGACAACACGGTCAACAGGAGGAATAAGCGCTCAGCTCGCGACACGTCCCTGCATCTGCATTGCCAGCACTCTGTAGATCAACCGTGGACACGTGGACGTTGAAATAACGCCATCCCGGCATCCCCGCCTGTGCTCCCAGCAAGTTGGGCCTCATCCTCACCGCTTGCAGCAAGCGGTCTCCTCATATAGACGATGTCCCCCCCCCCCCCCCCCCCACCCCACCCACCCACCCACACCCTCACCCCACCCCCCCCACCCTCCTTGCCTAACTCCAATCTCTCAAACACAGCCCCCATTTGTCTGTCCGTCTCTAGCTACAGAGGCACTTGCACAACCTTTGGATGCAAGGCCTGACTAAGTACATGATGGATATCGCCCTTGCAAATCATCAATTGGCAACCTTGTCATGGGTTTCTTGACAGAGGCCCCTGCTTTGGGGCAATGAACTTGAAGTCGTGGTCATCCGTTTTTGTATTTTTCCTCAGAAAAAGCTTCAATATTCCAGCCATGTATGTCCGGGAATACCTGGCGAATGCAATGCAAACGTGAAGCGCCAGTCGCTCTTTCGTGCAGATCGCTGAAGAACTGACACACTGAACGAAAACTGGCATGTCATATTTTTCCATACGCTCTTGCCACTGTGCAATTGAGTTCCAGGCCTTGTAGTAACGACAACACAGCAATTACCATGAGGCCATTCGCGGGCAGTGGACTACGTGCGCAGTTGTGTCAATGCAGCGACGCATGTAGTTCACAGTCCGCGAACACACTCAGCGCTCAGAAATTCTCGGAAGCCTGCAACCCTAGGTCAGAGCATAAATGTGCTGACCGTACATGCAGCATACAATATGTGCTTGGTCGGGCAGTAGAATTTCTGCGCAATCCATGATTTGAACAGCAAGAACGTGTTGCCCTGAACAAATACAATGCAACACTACAATGACGCGTTGGTCCACCAATACCCTGGGCACAACATGGTGGCAGCCTTGGAGATGAGCTCTTCGAGGTGTACGCCAAAGCGTGCATCAAGTTAAACAGCGCCTACCAACACTTAAAGCGAATGAATATACGCGCCCGTGGCGCATTATCCCTTTCGTGTCCTTGCCTTTGCTGGCTCGTCGTGGAGGCGTTATGGCCCCGTTTCGGCCATTGATACTGGACCATAGTTTCCGTGACATTCATATGGTTCACATCACAGCGCACGAACCACCTATGTCGGATCCGACATGGGGTACTCTGAAGCATCCCGTCAGACTTGGGGTGGTGGCAGAGCGTGCAACTGTCGTCATCAACATCAATCTGGAACAGTACACCGCTTAGAGCGAGCCAGAAATACGCAAGGCGCACCGATGCCAATCCCCCGTTTGCCTCGTCCACAGGCATCGTATGTCGTTCCTCTCGTCCTCCACCAGAGCCCCGTCCAGCGCCTTGGTGTTCGAGCAGCTGAAGTACAAGTCGAAATCGTGGCTTTCGCTGTTGGCGTAGGCCCACGCCTTCCACCCCGTGTACAGCCGTTGTGCTTCGCGCGCCTTTCCGAACAAGCGCATCAAGTAGCACAGGGCGTGCACCTGTGCGCCGCAGTGCGGAGGCACACGTGAGGATGCAGCTCGACGCCGAATTTGCGTTCAACGAAATCCCGACAGCCGCCCACGGGTGGCTGAGTGAACAACATGTCCTGGGTTGAGCACAAGACATGCAGGCGGCAACCAATCTGGCCATGCGCTGAGCGGTCGCAATCCAAAGTGAGACAAGCTTTTGCTGGACCGAGTCTGGTGCCATCATTGTTCTTTGGCTCGACCTGTTTACAGAGAGCGTTGAAGGGGTGGTCATTAGAATCACGACCAACAGGCATCGCTCAGTCACGGTCCCATTGATAGCGTTTGATACAAATGATTCTGCAAGATCCGCCACCTTAATGTCCAACAAGAGGAGCAGCTTCTTGGGGCCCTTTCATGGGATTTGCCCTCCCAATGTCTCTGAGAAGTGATGGCTACAGCTCATGGGGTATTTGGCCAAAGGTATGCCGCGGGGTGAATTCAATACCAAGCCATCACGTCGCATAACTTTCCAACCTTGAAGGAAAACAGAATCCCACAGAATGCTGTAGAAATTTTGAGCGAATTCACCCCATGTGGCGACCTCAATTATCCAGTTCCGCAATGTAAAGGCGGCATAAGAGCGCAGCAATTTTGGAATGGACGTACAGCTTTCTGTGCGCGCCTGCGCACCGGAGAAATGGGCGCGGTAAGCGGCTGCCTGCGCCAAGTTGGCGTAGGTTGAGCTAATTGGGACGCACAGTTTCAAAGTCCCAGGGAGGCATCAAGTGATTCACGAACATCGAACATGAATTGAAATGGAAGCGAATCGCCACCAGCGCAATTGCATACCCATTCACCTACGTATATCAGCAGATACGTGAACAGATATTCAACCAGCGGATGTCACGTTAGTCCATCTGATCCACGCATAAGTTGTTGCCATGTGGATCCGAGTATTGGTTAAAAATCGAAAATTCTAAAATTTCTTGGTACACGAAATCAAACCAGGGGAGGTGCAGTCTGCATAGATCCAGTGTATGCGCCTACCAGTAGGTGTGCACGTCAAATAACTATTTGATTAAAATTTGATCAAATTGATTATTTGCCATAACAAGCCGCGAGTGTAACTATGCTGTGTGTGCACTCTGTTGCATTGCGAAACATCACCGATTGAACATCAGCAAAAGCTGCAGGCAAGTGGAAGTATCCGAAATGCACGTACCTTCATGGATGTGCAGGACTTTGCAAGCCACAGCCGGTAGGGGCAAGGGACGTAATCTGCTGGATAATCAGGGTATCCAAAGGGCAAGAGGCAGAAGGGTGGAGGATTCTTTGTGAAAAATCGCTTCGCGTAGAGATACGTTTGGTAGTTGGTTGCCGGATACGTCGTGGAGCTTGTGGCGTGGAAAATCATGGGCTCGCCCTCCTGCAAGTCGAAAGTAGACCATTCAGTCCGCGGCTGCCATGAACAATCTACCGACTGAGCCATGGGTGCATGAGGGTCGATGGGTGGGCAACAGAATTATTGATCAATGCTTCTCAAATGCGCCGCACACAACAAACATCTGCACTGAAACAAATGAGTTTGTTCCTTCCGCGCAAATTGCGTGTATCCATGATGCCGACGCCTGTGGCTGTTGAAGCCTCCCAGCCACTAAGGAGTTAGAACGGGACGAAAGTAGCGGATCAATGCGCGCATATATATCCCGCGCGGGATATCCGATCTGCGATCCGTTTCCCACGCTCTTAGTCCGAATTTCAGCGTGCAGCCCACGCTCATGTCGAAATTATCGCGAAACGCAAGGCGGACAAAAAAGGCAGCCAAAAATTTTCACCGACTCAGCTCACGCGTGCTCGGCATGCCATCAACTTCAATACCAGATGCCGTGCCCGAAGAGGGCCCTTCAAAGTGGACGCCGCCGCTGCGAGGACCACAGATGAGGCGACGTCCCCGGGGATGACGTCGATGACAGATTGGGGATACCAAGCATGGCCGCTCTTCTCGAAGAACCCCAACGCGTATGCAATTGTGTAGCCTCCTCCTCCCGCGAGGTTGCCCAGGTACCCGGGATAAGGGGCGCCCGCCAAGCCGATGATCATGCTCGGTCGGACGATGCACACCGGGAAGGGCTTCCTGTGGTAGCTGGCCACCAGCTGCTCGGCGAGATGCTTGCTGAGGCAGTATGTATTGGCCATTTTCCACCGCTTCAAGTACATCATGCAGCGCACACCTGCCTCATCCTCGGGCATCCTCAAGAGTTCGTGTGCCAGCTCTTGGTGATCGACCACCTGCCAGTTGCTCAACTCGTGAACAAGGCACATTGCGTTGGGCGTCATCGAGCCCATTGATTCCAATGGCGACTTTGTTCCCAGCACAAGGCGTCCCTCTGAAGTGTTGACATTTGCAATTGCAAGTAGGATGCTACTTGGTGCATCTGCAGAAAGGCGTTCTCACAATTGAAATTAGACCTGCTTCTGAGAGGCAACAAGGATACTGTTTGTGTGTGTGCACACGCACTTTGCAAGCACGGCATGCAAGTGTGGTCACTCTCTTGGCACACATCAGATTCAGACCGCCGCGGTTTTCTGTGCGCCAAAAGGAGGTGCGCAACAGACAGCGAAGCAAAGCTCCCTGGCGTCTGCGACCAGGCAGACTTCCACGCAAAAATGACACCCCGGTATCAAATAATGGGATTGCCAAGGTCGTCATTCACACGGCAACTTCCCCAGCCGAGCTGCGCTGCAACCAATTCACAAGGCGTAGGAGTCAGTTCTGGCGTCGTGCCCTGGCATATTCTATGCGAGCTCAAATCCAGCAAGTTAGGAGTGAAACATTTTGTTACACTTCTCATATCAGCTGCACCAAATGGCCGCATACTATTGCCGCCAAAATACTTTTGGTGCCATTTCAACGAATAATATGTTGCCGATCAGCATTCCTCAAACTTGCATTGTAAGTTCTGATTTTGGCGGATCAAAGCCGTCCGCAATGGGCAAGATTTGCCCTACTTCAAAACAGAAACAAGCACCAAACCGGGGCAGCCCCCTTTCTAAGCAGGTGTGCGCGACTCCGTCACGCTACATCATCCTCCTGCAATGTAATAATGGGCGCTCCTGCGCTTGCATCACCTCGTCGCCATCCATGAGCGGATAGATTTTCTCCAGGACGGTGCTGCCCTTGTCGTGGGCGACGCCGACGAAAGCCGTCGACACGTGCAGATACGCCTTCAACTGCGTCATGTGGGCGCACAGCTCCAACACGTTCCGCGTCGCCACGTAGTTGTTCTTTAACGCGTGTTGGATGTGGTCGTCAAGGGCCACGGTCGCCGCCGAGTGAATGAAGATCGTAGTGCTGCGCAGCACTTCCTTTGAGTCCTCCACGCTGAGGTTCAGGCCGTCCCGTGTGATGTCGCCTTCGATCACATGGACCTTCGCCAAGACGTCCGGCGAGTTCCAGAGCTTGTGGAACAGGCCTAGTGCAAACCAGCGCGCATGGCGGTGGATTCCACGCGCCCAAAGACAAAAAAAATGTCGCTGTAATGCTGTTCGCAGTAACGCAGTAACGCAGGGTAACGCTATCAAAACACTGTGTCTTCCATGTTTCGCTAAATCACAGTACAGTGATTAAGTAGACACTGTGAGATGCGAGCTCGGAAATGCCATGCACGTCCCTCGAATTGCCTTCAAACCTTCATGCTCTTATGAAATTTCATAATTTTTTTTTCAAATTTCATGAAATTTCATTTTAAAATGAAACCTACCATCGAAGAGCACAGTGCGTGCGTTTCACAAGGAAAAAGGGGCCAAATGACACGCGTTCGAATGTGTACAAAATGTACGGGTTTGGATTATTTTCGTGGGTTTTTCTAGCAAGCAGAACACTGACGAATTGCATACATTTGTTTTCCCAAATGTGTTATTTGGTTCTCTTTTCGCTAGTGTTTCTTGGTAAGTGGGCTTTAGGTGGAGCGTTGGAATTTTACCCCGTCAAGGGAATGTGTCGGTCCTCAGCGGCAGCGACAATCCACACATTGTACCTTTGCCTCTGACCCTGCGTTTCTTTCGCGCAATGCATGTGCTGTGATGAAAGACTAAACTGTGCCCTTCTAACATTTCAAAATAGGTGTTTCTGACATTTCAACGCAGTTTTGGCGTTGAGTGCTATGTCATCGCTGCTCCATGTTGGAATGACCGCTGCTGCGGCGCGGTAGCCTTGTACCTTCTCACCAACTAGGAAGGGCGCTTAGGAAACGCTGGCTGAGTTCGCCGGAATTACATGCGCCAAACGCATCCCCGCGGTTGCCCTGCTGGATGAGATCCCATCCACAATCCCATTCTCTCGGAAGAATCCAAATTCTTCGAGCCGACAAGACACCCGTCGAACAATGGCTGACCGCGACGGACCGAGCAACAGAAGAGCAGCCCGCGGCCGCACACCCTTCAGCGGATTCATGCCGATCGGCCCCATGTGACATGGCAATGCAGCCCAATCGCATTCACCACGCCTCACCCAACCGCAGGAGGCGATCCACGCGGTCCCTCGCGCTCGCGGACTTCTTTCCCCTGGACATCACGTACACCCTGTCCACCTCCGGGCACACCCTCAGGACCTGCTCCAGCACCAAGCTGCCCAGGTAGCCCGTCGCTCCCGTCAGGAAGACGCGGGCGCCGCGGAAGGCCTGGCGGACGGACAGCGCCGAGGCCGCCGCGCGGTCCAGAGGTCCAGCGGCGTCGCTCACACCCCTGTCCTCCTCCGAGGGCTTGCCGGACCCACGCCGCGAATCCTTGCCGCGCTGTGGCTGCGCCATTGAAGCGCGCTGGCACCCCTGGGGGCCGAAATCGCCCGGCTGTGCTGTCTGGAACCGCGATGGCACAGGTGGCAAACCCCACACTAGGCAACAACACCACTTTCGCGACGTCAGGCGCGGTAACATTTGACACTAATTGACGCCATCGCAGCCACCACGACGACGCCAGCCAGTGCCGGCAACGCGCTTGGCGTAGCAGGCATCGCATTTTCTGCCAGTACCGACGTCCAAGCGTCACATGCCGCCAGCGTCCATCAAGTTCCTCTCGTTGCCCGGTCGGCTGAGAGGTGTCGGGGGTGCGGAACCGCGGTCACATCGTGGCCATAAGGCAATGTGCGCCTGTTTTCGTGGGGTGCTGATGGGAGGCTGGGCTCCGCACGTCTGACCGTGCTTGCCCGAATTCGAGGTAGAATTGTCGAAGCTTGCGCGTACTGATGGACAGCAACTCAATGGTTGGATTGCGGCAATGCCTTGGGTTGCCATGAGCTCGTGATGAGCCCATGATGAGCTCATTGACTCCAGACAATTCATGGACACTGCTCTGCTCGGGCGAAACAGGCAGCTGCTAGCTGCCTCCTCGCCCTGACGTGCAAGAATTCTTGATGGTGATGGTGAACGGTTGGGCGGCCTTCGGCACAACATTTGTGCGCGAATTGATGCATGCAAAAGGGCAAGTCGATTGAATCGTCGTGCTGGGGCAGAGACGCTACTGGGTCGATTCCGTGGAGCCTTTAGCCGTCGACACCACGATTCAAATGAACTGCAACCTTGCATTCCTGTCCGCGAGTCGGGAGGCTTGCGATATATGCCCATAGAGCAGTTGTCGTGAATCTGAAAGCAGCGGCCTGTGCCCAACCGCGCGGTTCACATCCATCAGCCCAGTCCACACGCACCACATGCAATTGCATACCTGGGAAGGTATAAGCGATTCTGCTCGCGCCTTGGGACAATATAATGTCGGGTCGCAAAGGCCTCCAATGCGTCATGCAAGATTCGGTGTGAAAGTCGCCATGTGCAGGCATCTAAAGGATTTCAGAGAACCACAAATGCTAACCAACTCTTTCGGGAAAATCCCAAAGTGCAGCCTGCCACGCCCCATCATCACGAAGCAGCCGTGTCCTAGCCGCACTCTGCACTGACTCTGACTACCGTAGTATCTTCAACCCTTCCGTATAGTAGCGTAACGATTGGCCTCTTTTTGCGGTGAAAACAATAATATGTATATTCTACATTATACTTATATAAGTAACGCTGTTTTAACAAAACTTTGTGGAGCAACGTAAAACATAAAAAATAATGCTCTGGAAACACAATGCGTGGCAAAAGCGCAACGGTAAAATTGCTTGATGAGGAATGGTTGAATATACTACAGTACCCCTGTTTCCCTCTGCGCACCAGTTGGCGCGAGCAGACTGCGGAGGTGGATCGGTTTACAAAGATCTGACCCAGTCCGAAGACCACAAGGCCTTGGCTGTGCCCGACCATCCGAATGTGCGTGCGCCGCCCAGGATAGGCATGCTCAAATCCGCCATTGATGTTCGGGTTTCATGTTTGTATCCCCAGACCCAGACCATCCACCGAGAATCCTCACAGATTGCACCGTCGTCAGATTCCCAATGCCCATTTCCACATGGGCGGCAACATTTGTCGCGTCGCGCTCCGCACACTCGATCACCCCAATTGGCGTCGACCCCAATCCTCCACGCGAGGGCCTCCCATCGATCCAGGATCAATTATGGTCGATTATTGATCAATGCGTACTCTCGCAGGCCGATTTATTGCTGCTGGCCTCATGGCCAAAAATGTGGGCCCAAGAAGGCTACAGGCCCATAGGAGCTCCCTTCTCCACGGGCAACGTGTCTTCCGGGGCAGAGGTGCTGACACAGCCCAACAATCTGCGCGCTATGCGTAGATTCTGTCGTGTCCAGGCGATGTTACTGAATTGCCACTGACGCACATCGTCATTTTATCTACAAACATAAGCGATGATGCACATGTGCTGCATGTGCTCAAATTCTCTCCATGTGTCCCTCGTTCGCTGTATCTAGCTCTCCTATCAAGTACAAGAGACTGTTGGCATACTCGCGATCAAACAATGACAAGGCCCGCATGGACACCACTTGCCATGTCGTTGTGGTTAAGTCGCAAGCGACATGCCCCCATTTCTCCAAACCAACATCACAGCAGAGTCCGCAGATGTGTTTTGTTTAGCGTCGGAAAAGTCCTGGAGGATCTCTCAACCGTCAGTGATTAGTGGAGATTTTGCTGCTGAAAGGAGGTCAGAATGTGCAATAAAGCGATTGGTATTAGTGAGCATGTCGCGATCATAGCGAACAGGTAATAACACCAATCGCCGGCTGTGGAGGAGCTGTGTGCTTAAGAGCTCACGGTTTCTGTGTGCTGTGTGCGCAGGCCACCCGGCAACTGCGATCGCCAACTATGGAGGAGGTCTGTGGTGAAGAACTGACGCTTCTGCGTGTTGTGCAGGCAGGCTGCCGTGGCGCTCCCACCGCCAGCCTTGGGGGGTTGAAAAGTAACAGTTTCTGTTTGCTTTGTGCGCAGGCTCTCCAAGTGCCCCGATCTCCGGATATGGAAGATCACAGACATTCACCTTGCGCTGCTGGCCGGCACTAACAAACAAAACCAACTGCGTGGGGGGCCACTTGCACCCCCACACCCAAACCAATCGCATAGGGGATCACTCGCAGCCACACGCCACACGGTACCTCAACACGAAAAACCGCTGGTGGTGGTGGTGGTGGTGGTGGTGGGGTGGGTGGGTGGGTGGGGGGGGGCAACTGGTCCGCCCGGCTCCCCCTCCCCTCTCCTCACCCCCAAAGAAAAGAACCAAAACGATCGCCGTTGAATCCACCCACTCCGCAGACAGTACCCGCGCGCTTCCCGGACAGTGTCCTTGTGCCCTCCGGACAGCGTCCGCGCGCCGCCTGGACGGTATCCGCGCCCCCTTCTGGACGATAAAGAGTGTCCGCGCATGACAAAAGTGTCCACGCACAGAGCGTCTGAGTGCATAGCAAAATGTCCGACGCATCCGCGCCACACGCGGACGGAAAAAGCGTCCGCGTTTTTTCTGGATTCCGCACCCTCGGACGCTCCGGACGCGCTTGGACGCTTTTGTCTTAGAGCTCGGACGCTTCCGCTCAGTGGGCGGAAGCTCCGGACGCTGTTTTTACCGCCTCAGGCAATGCCAATAGAGCGCTTAGATGCGCTCGGACGCATCCGAGTCGCTCGGAAGCCGCGGAGACACCCCCTTTTCCGTAGTGTTTTTGCGACAGTGGCCATGAGTAAAGAATGGCTCGGGCAGCCAGGCGACCTGTAAATCGGGTACCCAGCGCTCTCAGCCCTGTTCAGCAGCGTCTTCCGCGTCTGTGGTGGATCGCTGTCCCCTGCCAGGACAGGTCCTACAAGTTCGTAGGCTGAAGCTCCCAGTTCGGCACTGGGTGTCAACCGACCAGGCTGCAGTTCGATCCGAAAGTTTTGAAACGCCTGTGGGCGGGGCAAGTGACCCCTTAGCCCCCGTTCCTGCTGTTCCACTGGCCAGAGCTATTTGAAGGCACTGCTGATCTAGACGCGGCAGCCCCAGTTCGGCCTATGGAGGCAACCACTGGCCCTTTCACCCGTGTTTATGCCAGGCCAAGGGGCGCCCTGCGCCTTGCGACTCTCGCGCCTGGGCCAATTCATCCAATTCGGCTCTAGTTTCAGCCAGTTCGGTTGAATCTCAGTGCCGTGCTGGTGCCGCAGCCCATTTGATTGTCATGGGGGACCCTGGTCGTCCTCCAACGCTCCTGTTTTGGAATTTTGGTTCTGTTCTCTGAACGGCGCCACAGTCAACTGAAGGTTTCAGAGTGTGCAAAGGGTTGGCTTGATAGCCCAACTGCCCGCAAGTCACACATTTGGTATCGCCACCACCGCAAAAAAGGTTTGCAGACTTTTTCTCTTGTTTTTGTGGGGGAGTTTCCAGGGGTTCGGTGGCAGCTGTGGCCGCCTTTAGAGGCGTGTTTTCGGTTAGAGTTGGGCCCGGACGTGCCCCTTTTACACTGGATGGTACGCTACATTGATCGATGCCGTGACATCATGTCGATGCATCGATGTAAGGAAGAAACAAACAAACAAACAAATCACCGCAAAAAGGAACAACAGAACTTGTAGCTCAAGAAAGAACAATTGTCGCCACCGTCACAAACAAAAGTAATTTTCCCACTGTCGCAAAAACGAACAACAATTCACCTTCGCCAGAAAAATAACAACCTTTCCCCGGGAGCGGGCAAAGCAATGCGGGTGCCATTCCCAAGCGCGCAACGCGCACGCAGCGGCCAGTGCAGTACCGTGTCCAATACCGGGTGCGATACCCCTCCTCCCAGCGTGTTTCCGGCCAAGCGACCTCCGCTTTTGTTGGAATGTGGTTCCGTCCCCGCCGCCCACATTCCCGGCACCCCCCCCGCCCACTATCGACAATTTCCTTGCGCTACTTTGGTTACGGTACGCGCGGTCAGCTCAACCCCGCCATGTCGGTCAACGGGGGTCGGGGCGCTCCCCTGCTCGTGTGACAAAGTCCGAGTCCGTCTCCAGGGGCCGGGTTGAGAGGAGATACAGCGCGTGCCCCCCGGCCACGCCGGCCTCCGGGTGGGGCTGCGGAGCGCGGGGCGAAGGGCAAAGGCGGGCGAAGCGACGCGGCAAGGGGCGCCGGTGAGCCCTTGGTGTTTTAGGAAAGCATCTTGTGTGGCCACGCCTTGCGCGAATTCAGCGCGAGGGGGAAGTGGGCTTGAGCGCAGCGATGGGAACAAACGGGGAAGAGAGGGGCCGCAAGCTGGGAGTGGAATTGTGTAAGGGGGACGTGGATAGGGAGGAGGAGGGGAGGTGTTTGGGTGGGGTGGGGGTGTTGGGGGGAGAAGGGGGGGGGGTGGCCCCTTGGGATTGGGGGTGGGGACCCCGGGGGAGGGGCGGGTGCCGTCGGAGCGTCGTCGAACGCGTCGCGCGGGCGGCTGGGCGATCGCGCACGGCGCCGATTGGGGATGCGCGGAAGGCGAGCCCTCCCGCGATCGCTCGAGGGGGCCGGGGGGGTGGCCGGGGGGGACGGAAGGAAGGACCGGCCGCTGATTCGGGCTAGGGCCTTCGTGCGACACTTTGCGATTCGCCCTCGTCCCGTACGAGGCGGAATTGAGGCGAGGGGCGGCCCGGCGCTGCCTCTCCCAGCATCCTGAGCGCGATGAATTGATCGGTGGCGATGATCTTGCGGCGTGGGGGAGCAAGCGGTTGTTCGGCGGAGGCCGTTGCGGAGATCGGGCGCCGGTGGGGTGGTCTGAGGTCCTGCCACGCTCGAGCTGCGTCCTCCCCGCGCGGACCCGCGCCGATTGGCCGGCGGTCGGGAGAGGTCGGAGACAGATGGCGCGGGGCAGGTTGCCGGATGGCCCAAGGAGGAGCTCCGTTGCACTTCATGGCGCGCTGCTTGGGCGTCGGTCGATGTTTCGCTGCTCTTTTATCGCGATCGGAAACGTTCCGTCTCGTGCGACACTGATGTTGTGCTTCCGGCCGGGTCCGGTCAATGGTGTGACCTTGCGTTGCGCGAGGAGGCTGTTACTTTGGGCGTTCGCGTGTGCTGACGACCTCCCTTCGATCATCCTCGAGACTTTCGAATCGCGAAGGCGGGGGCTGCTGCCGACGCCCTGGGCCCGCCAAGCAGGGGAAAGACGTCATTTCGGACTGGGCGCCGTGCGGTCGGCGCGCACTCGCTTTGGCCTGTGTTTGGCCGTGGTTGGCCCGCGGGCGTCCGGCGGTCCTTCGATTCGCATGGCGGTCGGGATGGACACTAGGAGCAGCGCGAGGAGGGATTGGGGCAAAGGGTATAACTGCCGGCCGGCGACGCTTGCCTGCAGTTTTTCACACCAACTTACGTTGATCTTCCTCTGTGCGTGCTTGCTGCCTCACTTGAGGATTTCTGTAGCGTGGTTTCACAGACGGTGCAGAGCCGGGAGGGGAACCTGTCAAACCTTCCGCGGCGGGCCTTGCGGATTGAGCTGGGCCTGTCACCGGCTTTCAGGTGCAACGGGAGCGCTCGGCCACGTTCTGGCAGGGGCAATTGGAAAAGAACCTGAGACTGCTCCAAGGCGCCGAAGGAGCAGTTTCTTGTGAGGTTGATGCCCGCTGGCTCACAGTTGCCTGGCTGCGTTCATGATCGTGACACAATGGCGCCGCTGCTTGCAGGGGTGGCGAATGTCGTCGTGCCTGCGGAATCTGCTACGGAGGCTTAGGCATGGGCCCTCCGAATGTGGGCTGCACGAGGTGGGTGTTCGCATCCCATGATTGGCTCTGTTGAAGAGACAAAGCGCCTCCTTTCCCCTTCCCCGCGGCCACAAGGAGATGCCAAGCACAGCTCCAGACACAGGGTGTCCATGACCGTGTAGATGGCTTGTCCAAACCAACTTCTGAAGTCTGCTTCGTTTACAACATGGCCCACTACATAGTCGGGCTTAGTGAACGCTATGTACTTAAGCAATTCATCAACGTGGTCCATTTCGTTGCCGGCAATCACGCCAAAGTAATCAAAAAATGGCTAACTTTCAAAATGTAAAGCACTAATGGTGAGCAGTGTCAGGAGCAACCAGGCAATCTTGCAGCCAGACTATGCAACTGATCTGTGGCACTAATCTGCAAGTCAGCAGGCTCAGGGCCGCGGCACAAAACTCGTCATGCACGTTTCTGGGCTTGTCAACAGCATCCTTGCACCACCATTCTTCAGAAGGTGGTACTTCAATATGAGCTATCTGTAGTAGGCGGCAACACACGCTCCAAGAGCCATTTGACTGCATTTGCCAAGGAATGGTGCAGCTCTGCCCTTGCACCTCAAGCTTGATGGCGTGTACCACACAACAGAGTACGGAACACAACCCAAGCACACAAGGGCGGTACCTGAGCTTCAAACGTTGTGCACTTGGCATCAGCAAAAGAAACACAACGCAACTGCGGCTTCATGACCAGCGATGTGGGGAGGCATGAGAAATGTTCACCATCTTCCAGGGCATCCACAACAGCGCAGAAACTGCATGCTGGGGAAAGCCTCGCAGCATGAACCTGAAGGTAGAGGAGCTAAGAGAAGAAAACAGAATAAGAGTCAATGGCACAAACAGAATAACAGTCAATTGCAGGCCCGTTGGGGTGGTTGGGACAACGACCGTCTCCGTATGGAAGGTGTGATATGAAGCAGCTGACCTGTTGAGCACAGCTGCGTAATGCATTGCACCGCATTGAACTAGCTCTGCTGCACGTTGACAACCACAGATAGATCACTGTTGTTGCTAAGCTGCTAATATCTTATTGCAACATCATATCTTGCAGTCTGAGGAAGAGTCATACATCCAGTGTCTGTTCTGCAACCTGGAACTGCCCCATTTGCAACTGGTATGTTGCAATCACCTGCTGATGAATGCGTACATGCCCGATGAACCTAGGCAAACAATTACTCCTGCAAGTCGTCCTGTTCTCTCCAATTCATGAAGAGGTTTCCTCTTCCAAAATAGCAGCCTTGTGGAGGGCTTCATGCAGTCTGTTTGTGTCATGTGATGGAACAAGAAGGGACCCGGGTAGTGAAGCATTGTGTCAATGTGAGTTGCTTGGATCCTGCGTCCGTGGCAAGGGGGACAAAATGACATCATGTACGCACGCCATGCACTCACCCCTTTCGACAATTGGCACGATCACCACTTTTGATTTAAGTTGCTTGTGGCTGTAAGATGCTGCTAATTGAATCGAAGGTGCACGGGCTCTGCTTCATCGTTTTCCACACAAACGCAAGACAGGGTCTGGCAGCGGGAGGCTAATGCGGCAAAGCAGGCTCACTATTTCAAGCCCAGAAAACAAAAGCAGTGTGCAGGGCAAGCATGCTACTGTTGGCACTGCTGAAATGCCATGCTAGTAGCACATGAATAGATAAGCAAGTGTAGCAGATGTAGTCGAACACAAATATTAAGATGTCTGTAGACATTTGCCTGAGAGCATTGTGCATTTGGAATCTGTGCCAAGACGTGATTCACAGTGCACGAGTCGTTGTTTCGCTCGTTGCTGGTTGCACTGGGGAGAAATGCACATAAGACACATCAGGATGGATCAGTTCTCGGATTTGGTCCCTTTTGCTGCATAGTCAGTACTGAAAGACGAGTTTCTTAAATTGGAGTCGTTTATGAACGGATTCAAGCTATTTTTGAGCGATTTTCTGCCAGTGACTGCTGCAGCTCCTTAGGGTTTCATAATTCTACACATCATTGGCACTGCCTTGCTTTTTGCTGATAGGGACATGGCTTGCCCCTTCGTGGCGTGATAGGTAGCATAAAATTGATTGGCTAATGATGGACTTATGTATTGATGGACTGGCTGACAGTTTGATTAATGGATGGATGCAGTGACTGGCTGGCTGGCTGATTGATTGATTGCTCCATTGATTGGTTGACTATGAATCGTGGCCGTTGGCACGCTGTGCACCAGGCTGACGCCCCTGAATCCGACTGGGGTAGCCTGCCCTTCCCAGTGCTGGAGAACGTCAAGGCGGTGGTGGAGGACAGCAGCCAGGGCACCTCCTGCGTCATGAAGTCCGCCCGGTTGGTGAACAGGCACTGGGCGCGGTGGGCCACCGAGGCCGTGGACGGCCTCAACCTCTCGGGGGGCATGGCCCTGGAGGCGATGATGTCCACCATCGTCAAAAGATTCGTCAGCGTTCAGAAACTCAAGTGCAGGGAGGGCCACCTGTGGCTGGTGGAGCTGGCGAGCCTGACCATGTTGCGGCAGCTCACGCACTTGGACCTGGTGGGCTGCTGCATTCCCGACAGGGGCTGGGCGCCCTTGAGCAGGCTGACCAGCCTAAGGCACTTGAACATGTATGCGTGTCCGTATGTCACCAGCGATGGACTTGCCCACCTTCGGGGGCTTGTTTCCCTGGAGTGCCTGCGGCTGAGCCGGTGTTGGAAGGTCACGGACGACGGCCTGGCGCATCTTGGCGGCCTGACGGCCCTGACGTCCCTGGAGCTGTCCAGCTGCCACAAGATCCGAGGCGATGGGTTGGCTCACCTCAGCGGCCTGGGCCGCCTGGCCCACATGGACGTGTCCAACTGCTCGGAGATGCGCAGCGGCGGCATGGCGCACGTGGGCGCCCTGGGTGGCCTCAGGGAACTGGTCCTTTCGGGGTGCCGGAGGATCAAAGACAGGGGACTGGGGCACTTTGTGAAGTTGACGTCCCTGACGCGGCTGTGCCTGTCCGGCCTGCAGAAGGTGCGCGACGGGGGGCTGGAGCACGTGGGGATGCTCACGGCCTTGGAGGCGCTGGACCTTTCGGGCTGTGACATTACCGATGAGGGCTTGGCGCAGCTGGCGCATTTGACGGCCCTGGAGGAGCTCAACCTGAGCCGCTGCCGGAAGATCACGGACGACGGCCTGGAGAGTGTGGGCCACCTGACGGCGCTGAGGCGATTGGATCTGTTGGGGTGCAGCGGGGTGTCCAGCGGGAGTCGGGCGTTCATGGGGCAGCTGACAGCGCTGACGCTTTTGGACTCCGCCGGGTCGGAAATAACGGACGCGTACTTGGGGGCGGGGCGGCTGCTGTGAGGCGGCCGCGGGCTTGTGGGGATGGCCAGCCGAGAGATAGACGGATTTTTTGCATTTGGCGTGTAAGTTGCTTGCTCGCAATAATGCGGTCGCGAACTTCTGGCGGACTCGAAGCGACTCGGTCGGACTCGACCGGGCTCTAAGAGCGCTACCGAACGCTGGGAATCCTGGCTCTTGGCCTCGGCGTTTGTTCTCCTCCCGCAGCAGCACCTTGGCCCAGTGCTACCCAATTTCACCGCGTGGGTCAATGAGTGCGCACTCGGGCTTCGCAGGAGCCGGAGGCGTGCGCGATGGGAAAATATGAAGCCCTGCCCGTACAAGGATGAATCGTGCCCTCATACGGATGGATGTTGCCCCAAGGCCCCAACATGTACCGTATTTACCCGGTATTAGTAGGCATGTATTGGACCCCCAAAAAGAGCTGTGGATACTAATAGCGGGTCATGTATATTAACGCGGTTTGGACCCCTGATTCCAAAGAGTAGACAAAGAAAATTTTTGACAATAGGCCGTGAAATACCCAAAAATGGACAAAAATGGCGATGCTAGTGCGGAATGTTATCAGCCTCTTCACAGGAACTGGCGGCCTTGACTTGGGGCTGCACTAGATGGTGGCGACTAGCGATTGGGGCTGTCAGGGGTTCGCTGGAATGCTCCAGGCGCATTTGCCTCTGCAGTGCAAAGGACAAGACCTGACATGGGTCTCGACTCGCTGGGGCACCACGTCGCGACGATGCTCGACACGCGGCGTTTTCCCTCGCTGATGGCGGCTGGGAAAGCTGATGGGATCTGTGTTTGGGTCTGTGGCCTGGTAGCCAGTGAGATGTGTTTTGCCCCACCTTCGCAGCATTTTACGGCCAGTTTTGCAAGGCGGGGTGTCGCAACGGCAGTTGCCCCGACCTATGCCGTCGCCTGCCCATTCCTGGCGCTGGGCATTGGGGGACCCGTGCCAAGCGCCAGGCCGGAACCTGCTCTGGCCGGCCGGGGAGCAGGTTGGCTCAACCCAGAAACTAGGGCGGCTTTGAATTCTCGACCGCTTCTATCATCGTGCCTTGCGGCGTCGGTCGCTGCCTTGCGACCCTGCACTGAGAACGCCAACGGCGGCCAGTCGACCGCGCGGCTTTTCGCGGGAACCCCTCCAAATTCTCCCTCGACAACAACCGCCCCGACCCGATCGTCCCCGTTGATGTGCGAATCGCAGGGAACGCGGTTCGGTCCAGACTGGGCAACGAGTTCCAACACCAGCCCCCAACTTCCCTTGCCACCATCCGCGGCTTCCATCGTTTTTGCTCTATTGAGGTTTTGGGGTGGATACTAACACCGGGTCATGGATACTAACGTGGGTTCGACCCCCAAAGAGGGGGGTGGATACTAATAGGGGGTGCCTACTAATACCGGGTAAATACGGTAGGTCCTAGCCACTCGCGCCCGCTTCCACACAGTCTGCAACCTGGTTTCTGGGGCGCACCAGTCGTCAACCGCGGTCGATCCTCTGAGTTCATCCCCTCGATTGCAATCGAGACGCCACCATCCTTCGACTCCAGGGGGAAGACAGGAGGGATCGTTGCGAGCGCGCCGCGCGCCGAGCGCTGTGCGGTGCAGCGCTTCAGCCGGCGGACGCAAAATGTGGTGGCGGCGCGAAAAGAAAAAGCAACCATACAGCGACGCCAAGGGCAACATAACGAACTCGACCGAGACATCTCCCCGGCTCACCTCCGGTCACACAGGACATTTTTCTCGACTTGTGTTAAATGTATAAGGCCACGCTCTCGTGTGAGGGGAGTAACCACGCGGTTACGCCCAAAAGCGGCTGCTCCTGACGCGCCTGGCACGCCAGCCATGCTGTGGAGGTTCCACCACCAGAGCCGGGGCGGCCCGCCAGGGCCCTGCCACCCCGACGCCTGCCAGCCCCATATCCACTCCCCGCCCCGCCCAACACGTCCGCAGGGGGGCCACGAGCCGAGGACTCCCCGGCCTCCCCGCGCGGCCGCATCTCCCGATCCTTTGCGCAGGGATGGCTGCTCGACGTCGTCTGGAGCGGCATCGGCATCATCATCATCGGCATCCTCTCGCCTGCGCCCGCGGGCCGTAACGGACGCGTCTTCTCGGGCTGTGGGACGAGGCAGCGGGGACTCCTGGAGATTTGATTCGATTTCGGATGCGATCTCCGCCGTGGGGCGCGGCGAGTTCGTTGTGGTGCTGGACGACGAGGCGCGGGAGAACGAGGGGGACCTCATCATTGCGGCGGACGCGGCCACGGCGGAGCGGCTGGCGTTCATGGTGGAGCACACCAGCGGGGTGGTGTGCGTGGGGATGGAGGGGGCCGACCTGGACAGGCTGAAAATTCCGCTCATGGTGCCGCCGGACGAAAATGGGGAATGTATGCGGACGGCGTTCACGGTGTCTGTGGACCTGAGGGCTGGGACATCGACCGGGATTTCGGCGGCGGACAGGTCGGCGACGATCAGAGCCTTGGCGGATCCGGGAGCATCGGCTGAGGACTTTCTGAGGCCGGGGCACGTTTTTCCGCTGAGGGCGAGGGCCGGGGGGGTGCTGGCCCGGCCGGGCCACACGGAGGCCGCCGTGGACCTGGCCAGGATGGCGGGGCGCGCACCCGCGGGGGTGATCTGCGAGATCGTGAACCGGGAGGATGGGAGCATGGCGCGCACGCCGCTGCTGCTGGCGTTTGCGCGGGAGCATGGGCTGAAGTGCGTGACGATCGAGGACCTGATTGAGTACAGGTTGAGACGCGAGCGGCCGGCGGGCGGGGTGCCCGGGCCGGCGGTGGCCGCTTCGGGGAGTAGGAAACTGTAAAAGATCATGGGTGGATGCCGGGGCGGTGTTTGCTGCTGAATATTAGCGGTTGCCTGCCTAGTGATGAATTCACGTGTGGCACGCCCCTGGTGTGACTGGCCAGTCGGTGGTTTGGTGCCCACCGGTTGGCGCACCTGTCGCAAACAACGAGAGTGCGTGTGCTGCACTGCTGTTCAAGCAGCATCCAGCATGCTCTGCTGAATTCCTTTGTTGAAGTTGCCTTCAAAGCCAAAGCGGGGTCCCTTTGGTAAGGTCTGCCCAATTTTTAATACAGGTTGTCCAGGGCTTGTCTGAGTCGGCTATTCTATCATGAACGGCATGCTGCGATTTCTCTTGCAAGTCTGGAGAAAGAATGTTGCCCACATCTTCTGATGTGTTTTCTGCATCCTGACTGTCGCCTCTGCCACATTACAGCACATGAACCCATGTCGGTCAGATCAGTTGTTGAGAAGGTACATGTCTGTTGAGAAGGCACTGTTCAACAGATCTACCAGCTGCAGCTGCAAACTTGATTGGCGAGCAACAGGCAGAGGGGTCCATGTCTCATGAATGTGGTAATCTTTTATGTATGGAACACGGAGATGACAGGGTACATGGGCTCAGCACCGATTCACAACGAAGGGCAACTGTTAGAGGGACTTGCAGTTTTGCTGCCCAATCAGACCACCTATCGCAAGATGGAAGCCAGCAGGCATTCTGCAGCAGTCCCTTGAAGATGTTCCCAGTTGTGGCGTAGACGCACCTAGAATGTGCTGTAGTTGGAAAGTACCGCAGGACGCAGAATGCCACAGGAATCGACACCATCAAAAGGGCTGAAGGGGGCTATTCTGGAGTGCTATTCATGCGTTGAATTTGCCAATTTGCCTCGGGATGGATATTTTGTTCTTCACCGCCACTGCTACGGCTTGCTTGCATGCACTTGGATTTCTGGTCCCATGGGTTGCTTTGACTCCCCATCACTCTGCACCGGCACGGCCACCGGTGCGTTGTGCACAGCACAAGTCTGGCCTCAGTGGGTCCCACAAGAGTTCCAATGCACTGGAAAGGAGCTCTCTCAATTCATCCTTGCCTGCTGCTACACCCGGCGCTGCTGAAGGATTCAAGCATTCAACTTCTGGGGATTGAGCTCCAGCGCCCTGAAGCTGTGCACCGCCTTTCTCTGCCACAGCGTGCACCACTGCCCTTTTACCTTCGGCACCTTGGCCGCAGACGTCAGTGTCAGGATACGGATGCTGGCGATCGTGTCCAAACCCACTCCGTTACTCCAGCCTGCACTTGTGCAAACAGAGCTTCTCCATCACCTACAGCAGTGTGGATAGCAAAGTTTCACAACTGGCTCCTACTCAGGAGAGGCGTGGCCATCGCATGCAGTGTGATCGTGTGCCCATCTTCTGCACCCGTTTTGACAACGAGATCTTCAGCGGGAGCCCAACGCGCTCGTCTGTCTTCCCTCACATCGCGGCAAACCCGGGATCACAAGCGGCGAGGGTGCAAGGGGCCACCACTTGCCTTTCGAATTCATTTTGACGCGAATTCTTTTCAGCGATCAAAGGTCTTGATCGCCCTGCAAATTCAACTGGCGCCGACCCGGCCGGCATGGCCGCGCCCACGTGCAAACCTGAACCGCAGCTCCGCCAATTCCGTCCGCACCTGATTCGATTTCGAAGGTCCCGCCCAGATGCCGGTGGAACTCTGTTTGCTGCGACTAGGCGGACCTCTGCGGCGGGGACCCCTGCCTCCACGCCCTGCCTCCGCCCAATGCGATCAGCTGAGGCCCAGACGCAAAAAGTCGACGTCGAAAGGGATCGGGTAGACACCGTAGCCACTGCCGATGGGCGGAGCTCCCAGGCAGCGCGGCACCCAATCGGCAGCGCGACGCCTTTGCCGCTTCCTGGGCGAGGGCGCGCGACTGTTGTTTGGATACTTTCAAAGTACTACCCAGTGTACTGCCCAGCGCCACAGTACTGGCCCCAGGTGCTACCGGTAAGTCCTGGGTGGTACTGATGGGCACACGGGGCTGCGGCTGCGAGAGCCCGGTGGAAGTTTCCGAAGTCGAAGCTCGCCGGTCCTCGCCAGCATGCGCCGCGGGCGGCCGCGGGGTGAAGCAGCACCCAGGCACAGGCCAGGGAATGACTGAGCGGACCCCGTCGAAGGCAGCGGAGAACAGGCAACAATGCGCTGAGCTCCGGAGCCAAAACAATTGGCCCAAGAAATAATGGGGCCATCCGCTCCGGAAGGGAGCTGTCTGTTCACGAACAGGTTCAGTGGCTGGGTGTTTTGTGCGGTACGGCCGTCAGTACATTTGTGCTTTCTGTCGCATGGAGGGCTGCCTCAATTTAGAGTTGCACCCCACATCTCCTCCAATGCGTTGATGGTTGAATTGCCTTACGTGGTTGCACGCATTATGTTCTTTGGTTGTTGTTGACTGGGTCTGCACTACAGAATCTGTACTCTGTACTCTGTGCTACAGACTCTATAGCAGTGGAGTGTGTTATGAAATGTGGGGTTATCGATCTTGCATGTGCCATGCTGCTTGAAAGGCGCCTTCGTTTTAGATGTCGATTATCCCAATTAGTTCAAAATGCCAGAAATTAGCCACCTCAGCACGACACATTCTTCTTTTCTTACAGAAAAGAATTCCTCAGTCAGGCAGTGACAAGCTTATTGCGCGGACACTGACTCGAACAGACCGTGCATCAGGAAAAAGCAAGCACACAAGCCTGCACCCCACAAGAAAGCTGCTGGCCCAGTCGAATCCCCGACGCAGCGATCCAACCTTCCATCTCTGCTGTCAGACCCTGCTTTCAGTGGGCTGAAGAACCAAAACAATTCCACATAATGGAAAAATCCTCCTCCAAAACTGTTTCACCCACAGTGGGATGTGGGGCCCCAACGCCCACACTTTATCTTCCTCCTCATCTGCGTTCACCCTTCCATGGCTCCTCCTTTTTTGAATACCCCTCTTCCCAAGAAATTTTCTTCACTTTCTACCAAGATTTCAAGCTGTCTCTTCCTACCCAAGCCAACACCTGCTGCGCCCCCACCCCCTCTGTAGAATTCAGAGTGCACAGCCCCAAGCTCAAAATGCGCAGTCTATAAGTGTGCACACTCTCGCAGTGTGGCCGCCTTGGGAGCATAGTGGCCACTGCGACTAGTGAACTAACCCCATGAACCTCACCCCCAATGCATGGGAGACTCATCAACCTCAACCAACAAACCATGAGCTGGGGCAGCCCAAGCTTCAGATCGGATTATCACCAAAGGCCCTCGAGGGCTGAAACCAGAACCCCACCCACAACCGAATGGCATCAGGACATGCACAATCATTATTGTGCGAAAAGAAAAACGAAAAGCATGTTAACATGGTCATGGGCTTCAACGCTGCTTCAGCAACCCTCGATCGCTTCCCTCAATGACAGGAAGCTCTTTGAAGCTGGGTTGATTTTCGAAATGGGGCTTGCAGTTCGAGGGGCGATCTCCTGCTTGAAGCACACTGTCACGACTGTGATGTTGTCGCGGACGCCCTTCTCCAGCGCGTACTTCACCTGCCAAAACAGGGCCATGGACAATTCAGCGAGTGGATGCTCTTGTAGATTAGGCCAATGCTGTTGTCCGCATTAATGCACTGAATCAGTGGTGGGGGGCCAGCTATGAACACAGTTTTTGCAGAAGTTGAAGAGTGCAAAAGGACATCCTGCTAGGAACTGAGCAAGTTAGCTACTTTCCATTCTGACAAAACGCAATAACACAGAAACGCTCACATGCCCACACATGCTGTTCCATACTTCTGATGCTGTAGTAATTGGCCTTTGTTATGATGCAAATAATCAAAGTCTCTGAATGGTCTACTCCTTGGCTTGGGGATGCCCACTACACACTTTGGTTGCAGATAGGACTCAATTGTGCATGTTCCACAGCCTCTCAAGTTTCAAACACAGCATGTGCTGTCCAACAAATGCGCCCTCAACACCATGAAACGCTCCAGATCCCGCAGCAGCGCACTCTCCACCCACCACAGCCTGGGACGCCCTGTCAGGGTCGTTGTGCCGCTTGAGCTCCACCCTCACAATGTCCACCGCCAGCTGGCTGCTCATGCTGTCCAGCGCGCCATCGCTCGCCAGCACCACGAACTCCACATCTTCATCAATCTCCCACTCGCTGACCTCCGGCTCCGCAGTCAAGGGGCCCACCTCCCCCACCCCGCCCTTCAGGTGCGGGTAGTGAAAGTCCCCCAGCGCTCTGGACACGCCCAGGTCTCCACACAGATACCCCTCCCCATCAACATACCCCCCTGCTTGTTCAATCCGCCGCCGCTCGTCGCTGAGCGATGGCTTGTGGTCGCGCGTGAGCTCGATGGCACGCCCGCGGCGCGCTAGAACGGCCCTGCAGTCGCCCACGTTGGCCACCAGCAGGCGGCAGCCCAGCACGGCTGCCGCCAGGGCCGTGGTGCCAGAGTGCTGCAGGCTGCCACGCGCCACCTCCTTGCAGAACTCGGCATCAAGGCGCAGGACGCTGGCACGCTGCAGGGGAGGCACAAGGGGCTGATTGTCTGCGGGTGAGGATTCACAACAGGAGGAGAGAAGTATTGACTGTCAGTCGGCAGGAACTTCCCACATGAGAAGGTGAAATACAAGTTTGATTGTCAATCGGCAGGAACTTCCCAACAGCAGGGGGCAAGCTACAGGGTTGATTGTCCAGCCTTGTTGATTCGCGTCAAGATAAGGAGGGGTACAGAGTTCATCGTCAACCACACAAGGGGACACAGGGCTCAACCTGAGCAGTGTGTTCTGGGCAAAAGTTTTCCTTCAGCATGAGGGAATTCCTCATGACCAGTGCTTCCAATGTGGGCCACCCCTCCCTGATGATTGTCCATCCATGCGGTTTTGTGTGCCAAGTCCCCGGGCAAATGACCACAAGGGGCCAACGACGCAGGCCAACATCCAGTTTGCCTTGTCCCACCCAGCCGCTTTGCAAATGTCCCCTTCTGCACAAGGGATCCCAGACAGCACACTCTATCAACACAGCCATCGACCGAAAGCCATCCACGTTGTGCGCCTGTGGCAGCGTCAGCTGGTCCCACAAAAGTTTCTGGGAGCTGCCAACCATGCAGCTAAATCAACTTGCCCCAAACACGGGGGGGACAGCTCTGGGCGCCCTCCACCCTCCCTTCCCCTTCTCCCCGCTTCTTACAGCATTCGCGCAGACTGTTTTCAGCGCTGAGAAGGTGAGCATTGGGCTTCCTCCCCCAAACAGGACGCAAATAGGATGTTGACACCATCGCCACGACGTGCACTCGTCCCCCTGCCCGCCATAACCGCATTTTTCAAAACTGGCCCTTCCCCCCCCTTTCCCCGCCCATCGCCACTCACCAGTGCCTCGCACGCGTCCCCGCACAGGAAGGAGTCCGTGAGGAAGAAGCGCAGCAGGTTCTTGGACGCGAACTGGGCGGCGTCCGAGCCTCCGTGGCCATCGCAGACCTGCGGGCAGGCACCAACCGGCTCAATCGCACCCAATCAGCACCCAGGGCTTCACGCGAGCAAGCATCCGCCGCAAGCCAGTCCAGACAGTTCTCATCTGCTCGCGCCGCTACAGCCGCCACCAGCCGAAGCGGAAACCCCTGGTGCGCTGATGGCGCTGCCAATCAACCGGTAAACGCGACTTTCCCCCTGCGCACGCTGATGCGTCCTTCTCAACGCACCTCCCTTCCGCAACGCACACAAACGGCAACACTGACGCAATCAGAGACGAAGGTCCGCGCCCGATTCTCCACCTATCCCCGTCACCCCTCCCCGAAGCAGGATCAACACCCGCCCTCATCCCCCACTGCCTCCCATCACTGACAAATCACAAAAGCGCATCCCAAAGGTCCCCACCACGTAGAATCCCCTGCAGGGGCCGCGCAACTCCGCCGTGGCGCCGTCGCCCGCGCCGCCCAGCACGAAGTGCGCGTCCTCCATCGTGCTGCGCCGGCCGATGTCGCACGCGGCGCCATGCCGCAGGGTCCACCCCTCCGGCACCCCTTTCGAGAACAAACCCCCCATCCCTTCCAGCCACTCTCAATCGACGGGGCGGAGAGTATCCGTAACTCAACTCCCCGGTGTTCAGTCCCGTGGGAGGTGTTGGGCTGAGTGCGAGTCGGCTGTGGCTGGCCTTTGGAGATGGCCGGTTTTGGGTGTGGGAGCAACGTTGGGAGATTGTGGAAAGGGGGGGTGGGTGGCGGCTGCCTTTGCGCGGCGGGTGGGGGCGTGTCATGAGCGTCAGCAGCCGGGCGCGGCGCGGTGGTTGGTGTTGATTTCTGATTTTGGAGTGTGGATGGGAAGGCGGCGATTAAGTCGCTGGCTGATTCGCCACTGGGGAAGCGGTTCCAGTGGAAGGCGGTCTGGGAACGAGCTGGAGGCAACGGAGTTACAGACAGGTCTCGAACAGCGACGTCCCTTTATGGTCAGACCGTCCATTCAGTCCGTGTGTCATGACTATGTCATATCAACCCGTGTCTGAAAGGGGATCGAACCGGGTGGTTCTGGTGGGATGTCCCACCACTCCACCATACCACATGGACCAGGGGCAGGCACAGAGTGGTCCAATCCCTTGGGATCCCTTGGGTCAAGATGTTACGTGTGCAGGTGGTTCATGTACTAGACATACAGATGTTGCATGCACTAGAGAGTACAGGGCCGGGAGCAACGAGTCTACATCTGGCAGGTGGGTGCAGGGTGGAACGGTACTTGAGGGATTAGGCTACCCTCTTCTTTTCCCCTAGAAAGGTGGTTTGGTAGAGGGTAGGGATATCCCATCGAAAGTACCCGAATCGATCTCCGGTCGAGGCATCTTCTCAACCATCCTCACTGAAGAACTGGGGATCCGCCACGGCTGCTGTCAGCTGTTCCTTGATTTCCCCCAGGTGATTTGTTCCTCCCCCTGGATTCCGATTCGTCAGACTTCTTGTTGTGAAGAGTCGGGCTTCTGGCTTGGTGGAGTGATAATCATTGTCATTAGGTGTTTCAAACATCCGTTGTGCTTGTCACCAGGCTTGGTTTTTACGTTTACGTTTACGTTTTTACTTTTACGTTTTTACGCGTAAAAACGTAAATTTGCAAAAGGGCCTATTTTTACGGCTATTTTTACGTTTTTACGGCTCCCTGGCACACGTAGTTTACACGATGAAAGTTGCATACAATGATCAGTCCTCTGCCATCTCCATCACCCGGAGCACAATGTCCAATTCGCCTGTGGCAAGGGCGATAATGGCGTTTAGCAAAAACTCGTTTTCTGCCTCTTCCAAGGCGTCTGGCTGCCACTCTCCAGACTCTGTAAATCTATATGTACTGTCCTTATGTACACCAGGCAGTTTTTACGTTGTATTTACGTATTTTTACGCATTTTTACGCGTAAAAACGTAAAAACTATTTTTACGCGTAAAAACGTAAATACGATCAGTTTTTACGGCGTAAAAACCAAGCCTGCTTGTCACTCTCTAGGATTTCACTGCAACGCGCATAGTGAAACTATGCATGGGATGATTCATTCTTCTGCCTTACTACCAAAAGTGCCAAAAAACAAGGATGAACTTGTGCGGCTGCTGGGCATCAGAAAATATGGCCACGTCGATCAGAAACGACCAAAGTAGCGCGATTTGGGTAATCCATTGCCTGGCGCCCCCCCACCCCCACAATTGGGTTTGTTCAAAGATCAGGGGTTTAAAAATAATACTTTAATCATGGCTACTGTCCCAAAGTAGAATAACACTGCAGCAAAATGAGCTTTTTGGCATTGCCGCAGAAAAGTGGTTCAAATTTTGCTACTATGTAGCGAAACAAACTGGTACCGCCGTTCCACAGAAACAAATATTTGCCACAAGTATACCACCACAGCAGGAATAGAAATAGGCTGCCAATGCGGCAAGAAAATAGAACACGAATGCTGGGTGATGGTCGATTCACTTAAAGCGCTCACAGAAAAATTGCATCGCCTGGTAAACGGGTTGAAAAGCAAAAGAAATTCTGATGCAAAAGTGTTAGAGAAAAGTTGGAGAAAAAATTTAAGGAATTCGGTGGCAATGGTAGCGATAGTACTGTTGAATTATTGTTGAAGGAATAGGCAGCCAGGGATGCTCCAGAATCGAAGATTAACAACGTTGGTGTTGTGTTTCTCAGACCGAATTTGCGTAAGGTGTCACAGTGTGACCGTCACACCAAACCAACTCTCCTCTAAAATCGTGATGTCCATGCCCATATTGCCAAAAAAACATTGCTCAGTGGTGTTATGCAACAGTATGAGCACTGAAAAGAGCGTCGACACGTTGTGACGAAGGAGGAAACGTCGTCAAGGAGGGCCATCTTACCGTGCTGCGTTTATTGCACAATGTTGAACAATATTGTTCAATTAATTCAACATTACAATGGGACGCTCAAAATAATGACAACCGAGGGAGGCAGCTCTGGAACCTGTCAGTTTGACAATACCCTTCCCTTTTTGGACATTTAGGGGACCTTCTTGATGATTGAACATATGAGAGAATATTTCTATGTAACCATGACCTCATGCTGATCAGCGACATTGTTGATCAGTGACCTACTAACAGTTCAGCCTTCTTCTTACATTGTGTGGGTTTTCTGGCAATTGCATAGCTTCAAAACATAACAACCCAGGGCCTCCACCAAGTAGTGCCCACCCCAGCGGTCGATTTGATGTGCAGAGCACCTGAATGAGCAACATATTGTAGTGTATTGATCTAGGTCACGACGGTAAATTCTCTGAGGGTGGATTTCCTACTTGAGCACGCTGGAAATACACTCATAGTCGTCTGTCCATGGGGGTGCGTCCGCCATTGGCCTTGTGCTCCTAAGGGCTTGCTGCGCGCAATGGCGGAATTGCTTCCATTACTCCAATGACAATATTTTGGTTATTCTCATAAGTCGTTTCTTTTGCTCTTGAGCTCCAAATTCTTAAGATTTTGCTTCAGCAACTCATACCCCGTTTTGAATGGTCCAAATCACACAAGCGCAACTAGTGTTTTGGTGTTCAATATTTAATAACGCTGATGCTAAAAATTAATATGTGAAATGTGCGATTGTTGCAAAACATCACATGACATGCACGGTTTACGCGATCTTACAGAAAAGGTGTATATTTAGAAATTATACACATAACATGACCTCCAACAATGCAACATTTCGCAAACAAAAAGAGCTGCTCAAGGTCAGAAATGTGAATTCAATATGACAACACTACGCCACGTATTCTCGTGCATGGTCCAGGTTGGATTTCACACACAATGTCATCCCTCAGCTCCAATCACCTCGCTTGCCTACCCATTTGGTTCTTTCTATTGTGGATGTAAAAACCAAAGCCCTTGCATCTGCGAGGAGACGACAAATGCATCAGATTTTAGTTAAAATGATGTGAACACCACTTCATTCACACTATTCGGCTACTGTTCTGCAATGCACCTCCCCTTGTGCAATATTACATAATGCACATACCAACAATGCCAGGAACAAACTGCATATTCTCGTATGTTTATTGAAAATTTGTTGAATTTCAGCTTTCATTACTCCAATGGATGGGTTTGTTACTTCACAACTTGCATTGCTCGAGACCGCACTTCTGCCTAGCATGTACCTCCTCTGTCTCAAATAAAATGAAACACTCTGTTTGCATGGCCGCGTTTTCGTCAATCTCTAATCAATTTTGCCTGAAAATTTGACTGGGTACAACAACTCACGTTGGTACACGCTGCCAAATTTCTGTGAAGACGTTAAGTATCGGTCAAATGAATGTACTTTAAGCCCACAGGATACTTCCTAAAACCCCAGTCTTCTCACCCTGCCTCCCCCCACCCCCGAAAACGGCCCTTTGACAAGGTCGCTTTGCGACTGTCAGTGCGCAGCGCAGAGTGAATATCTGCAGCCGCCGCTGTGGCTGGAGTTCGGAGGCGTTCCTCACGAAGCGCACAAGGAGCAGAACCGAGCTTTGTAGCGCTCGATCACCGATCGAGATTTGGATTTGAATTTTAGATTTTAGATTTGGATCTGAAACCGAGGAATCGGCGAACTTCACGACCACGGCGTTTATGAAGGCGCTACCGCCGTGGGCGGGGTGGCCTCAAGTGTTTAGGCCACCATCAAGATTTTGGATAGATGCGATTCACTGGTAGAAAACAGCATGTCTGCGATGCCAACTGCGATGCTATTTTGACACAAAATGATGCCGTCACAGTGATTGCGATGGCATAGAACTGGCTGTGATGGCATCAATTTGTGTCAAATGGCGTCGCAATTAGCATCGCAAAGAGGCTGTTTTCTACTGGGGATTGTCAATTCGCTGCGCAACAGCAAAAAGGTCGCTGGAAGGGCCTGTGGCTGGCACAGGCCACAAGAAGCAATTCGAGCGCCGCTCAAGCCACTTTGAAAGATGCTGCTGCAAGAGATTTTGAATGCCGTCCATGCGGAATGCAGCACTTCATTATGCAGCAACTGTGGTCTCCGATGGAGCATCCACCCCCTCCATCGGTCGTGCTCGCTGGGATTGATGCCCTTTGTGGGTAGCTGTTCCTCGGGCCAAACACGCCCATTAAGTAGAGATCGGCAATGAACAGAGAGCGTTCGGTGCACGCAGCGGTTCTGCGGCTAGTCTATAGACAATTGGCAACGGGAGACCCAAGGCATGTCCTTGCGTCGCCGTGGATAGTGGCGGTGATCTGCAAATCTGCGATGGAGAGATGGGCAGCCGAGCGGCATCTCTGCTGGTTGTCCACCTCGATGGTGACGATTGTTGCGCTAGAGCTTGAGCGAGGTTGGCCACTCTACCCTTCCAGTGGCCTGAAGTCCAGAAAGAGGGTCTGCACTTGTGTGTTGGGCCATCCCGGACACGGGAACCTATTTTCTGGCGGGCAGGGGATGCCCTAGGAGGGACTATATTCTAGACTGCAGTAGCGCAGGTTCAATGCATTGTCAAATGCAGTGTACTTAACAGTTACCTCTGATTTTTTGGCGGCAACTACTACATGAATAGTAGGTGCTGAGATTGCAAGAAAACAAAC